TTTGGTCAAATTTAGGAAGCAAATGCTATGGAAGACACTCTCATGAGGCATTACACCACGTCCACCACGAATGTGTGCATAGGCAGCTGTACTTGACGTTTCGCAGGCTTGTGATGTTGAGACACTGCCAAGGGCTGATGGTGAAAGGCCGACGTTCGGTGCTGGGGGGAGGGCTGTCGCTAGAATTGAAGACGATTTTGGCATAAACTATCAAAATATTAATTCCAAATAGCAAAAGTACAAATGGCGTGGGAGAAACTTTACACTAGCCCTCACATGAAGATATCAAATGTTTTTCTATAGTGTTTAGCAAGACCTTCGTTATTCATTTCGCTTATTTTGACACTTTGATTGTACGTTTTACGCACTCTTATATGCCTATTCACCTGGAGGTATTTAAAGTAAATTAAACCACCTTATCTGTTGCATTAACTCGTCTGAAATTGTAAGTATCAGTAAGTTCGTCTCCTTTTAGAATCACCAACTTAACTTTGGACACATAAGCATAAAACCACTTTGTTTCAAACTTGCACTTCAGAATTATTGCCAATAAAATGCATTTTAAATTGTTTAGACATTTGGACCCTCACTGGCGGCTGCAGCTCATGCCGAGTCGGGTCTGGGTCATCCGCCAAATTGGTTATCGGATCCTTGAATTTGATTGCAGAAAGCAAGGGAATTTCAGCGCTTTTAATGGTTTTTACAGAGCCTATTACAAGATGAAAGCGTGGCACTTTTGCCATCCGCTGCTCTAAGTTAAAACGGTTTTGCGCATTTGTTTATGGACAGTGAATAAGCATCTAAATGTCAGACATTTTACGCATCCCAGCCTCTTAGTGAATCACTGACCCGTTGGCAAAATCTTAACCGAGTGGCACTCTAGCCTTGGAGGAACAATTTTTTACCCAGCACTGCACCAATACAGGAAATGATTGTGTGGTATGGGGTGTTAGCGTGCAGTGTTGAGTTCACAAATTTCCATTGTTGCAGCAAAGAAAACCGTAGCAAACCCTTACCGCTACTTCAGTGCATCTGAAACTGACATTAACGCATCCAACTAAACTCCACTATTTCCATTTCCACGCCATCCGAACTCAAGCCTGACAAGGGGAGTCAAAGTTAGCCGACAGGAGGAACACTAACGATCACTTTTAAAAGATAAAATAATGCACGTCAATTATTGTAAAAAACTGGTTTAGTGCTGTGAACGAAATACTGAATTATGACTCCAACAAAATTCCCATGGATGCGAATAAAATGGAGCGAAAGCATCAGTCTGAAGCAAACTATATTGCAGCCTACAATGAAAAAAGAGCGCTCAAGGCATCTTAAGGGAACATAAGATACTTAAAACACCTTTTTCCTTTTATTTTCCTAATTAACATTCTGAATAGTCAAGTTATTAAGAGGTTATTGTTAAATGGATGCGACACTGTTAAACTGGGACACATTAAAACAAAAGTGGGATGTAGTGGCTCCTTTTCCTTTAGAATAGACTGGGTTAACGCACCTAATACACATCAATTCTTGATTGGTTTAATGATGGATTTCAATACATTAATTGATTTTTTAATAATTAGTTTTGGTAAAGGAGAGCTTAAGGGCTACTGCCGTGGCCTGGCGACCAAGGCGCCCAGTGGAGGTACAGTAGTGGAGCCCCTAAGCTCTTTTACAGGTCGGCAATGCATTTTCTGCCCGAGTGTTACGTCTTCTTTCGGAGCAGTCCATAAATTCCAAGGCAATTTAATCCCCTTTCCACCATTTAATGAGAGATCGAAGGAGGAACAACAACCTCCTGCAAACACTTATTTGCGCCAACACTTAGGTCGGTATTATTTTCTTATGGAAGTGTGGACTAACTGAATACACTGTTTTGGGACATATCACGTGATTCGGATGGCGCGAATTCCATTTGTTCGCCATCCACTCGCCAATAAATGCACCTTCGCGGGGCAGTTTTTGTTGTCCAAGTTTTGACTGTGTGAAGTTGTCCGGAAACTGCAAATCTTGGCACCCAGCTTAGCCGGGCCATCGACTGGGGGCGTTTGAATTTATGTTCTTTGTTTGTGCACTCACCCGGCTATTTCTAAAAAAAGGTGCAGCAACGCATTAATTTGAAGATTTAAAATAGGCTTCTTAAGAAGTAAGAATTCAGGTGACTTAAAACCTCTCTTTGGATGTTTCGAGATCGAGCATCAAATGATTAAGATTCAAGACTTGTTTTGTCTAGAAATATTTTTTCTACATTTTCACTTTTCACACTTTCGTTAAGGGGTTAATATAACCAATGCGACTTGCGTGAGTCTGAATAATTGGAATCAAAATAAGCTTGATAAAATTTTGATGATCAGTGTCAACAACAAAGTCCACCTAAATATTCACTTACTTTAAAAAAATTATGACTTTTGGGGGTAAAACCTTAAAAAGTCTTTAAATCCTACCAGATTTCTTGTCCCTAGATTGGAGAGAATGCTTTGTTTTAACTGTTGCGGAACGGAATTTGTGTTAACCACACACCTAACCACCCAGTTGCGACGGTTCGTACCTCCTCCTGGCTGCGTAACCGGGGAGGCACTCCTCTAGCCTGCAGCTTTTCTGTAGGTTGACAGTAAATCTTCTCCAGTATTAGCACAGTCCGTTGCAAATTCGGAGAAGACTCGGTGCACTAAAAAGGCTTGAAAGCGTGTTCAAAAAAATGACAAGTTGGGAATAAACTGAAGTTGTGCCAAGTTAAATGGTACATTTGATGGAAGCGCGATCTACAAATAATTGCTTTAGGCACTAAGCAAGTGAGGGAGATAATGGATCAAATTTACGATTAATAGAGTGATAAAGACCCATAAACAAACAATTCTATCGTAGTACCCTACAATTTTGATCGACGAGGATAAAAGTAGTGATCAAAGTTACAAAGAATTAAACCTGGGTAAAAAGCTCCATCTTGTTTAGAGCCGAATAAAGATTTCATGGACTAAATTCGGCATCTTATGTTAGCATAAACTAATAGGAAAGAAGACAATTACGAAAGCACAGTATCGTAGGCCATGGTGGATTTGAATTGTGTTTGCACGGCAATGGGAAGGGACTCGCACAAATTTATTATCCATAAATGTCTTACCCAACAAAACTACCAAGAAGGCCTCATCTTATTTTAACAGCTTTAAAAGAGCAATTAAATACGCCCATTTGGTAATGAGATTATTCCTATGCCTCCCCACTACCACAATGTGTTTGCAACATAATTTAGGAGCATTGGTTATGAGTATCGGATAGCCTTTCTAAGCAAAAATTTTCGCTCAATATAACCTCTAAAAATACTTATTATGAAAAAGATGTTTCTGTTAAGCTCTAAGAAGCCTTTGCTAAACTCCTACTATTTCATAACGGTATAGGAGAACAGGTACCAATACAGTACGGAAGAGTTGGAAGTCCATTGATATGGCCCGAATACCTTAAGGTAAGAAAATATGTAACATGGGGAGATCAAAGGGTCTAAGAAGTTAAACGTACAGTAGAACAAACTACCAAACCACTACTCCCCCATAGCTCAAATGTACCAACAAAAAACCTTACTGCAAAGCCTCCATTTTGTGTAAAACGGTTTAAACTTATTTAAATTTAAGTGGCTAGATTTTAGTGTATACTAAGAGAGCAAAATTCAAAAAACCGTGATTTTGTTTATATTCTCCAGAAAGTTTCTAGTGGCACTTTGGCTGAAGGCCATTTTGGTCTGCGTGAATTGAGAAGACGTATAATGGGTGCGATGTTTCGAAGCGAGCAGATGCAGCTATCCCAGTTGTTTTTGCATATTGACTCTGCGTACATGTGTATTGTGGAACTTGGTGAACTTGGTGTTGTGCAATTCCGCGATGTAAGAGGTTCAGTAAAATCATTTTTCCACAGACGAATGCTGAAAGGAATGCATTTCAACGGAAATTTGTCAATGAGGTTCGCAGATGCGATGAAATGGAGCGCAAACTAAGTATGCTTTATCTTTAGCCGATGAATACCTTTAGGATTTATGCTGAATGAGATACAAGCAAACAAATTGAAACTTTATGATAGCCCGGAAGTTCCTGAATCACCAGCTCCAAGAGAGATGATTGACATGGAAACTACTTTTGAAAAGTTGGAAAATGAGACGAAGGAGGTAAATGCAAGCATTGGAAATTTGCGTCAAACTTATTTTGAGCTTCAAGAAATGAAGCATCTTTTGCGGAAAACGCAAATATTTTTTGACGAGGTAATTTAACTGTTCGGATAAGCTATCATGATCGCGTTCCTACATTTTTTTGTTGCAAATACTTTATTGCCTATTGCCTGGTGTTATAGTTCAAATAACAACCTAGACTTACACCTCCAATATGATCATGATTTGAATTGGATGTATTTTCTAGGCTTATCAAACGCCAACTTTTGCTACTGACGAGAATTTAGGTCTTCTTGGAGAAGAAGGTGGTCAGACCACATACAGTGGTGCTGAAATGCACTTAGGGTTCGCCATTTTGTGCATGGATGTCATGTGTATATCTTTGTTGTTGTATATGCATTATATATCACAAATCTCCTAATGGCGTTGAAACTTGAAACACAAATAAGATTTGAGATGTAGATCCAAGGTTTGAGCTGCACATGTCCGCTAGATTTTGAATACTTGCGCTCTGGGACTTCATTCAATTTGGTGTCGTGAAACCTTCAGGATGGCTTTGCCATGTCTATTCAACCATGTCGACAACTCGGCCGCCTAAAAGTGTTAGTAGAACCCTTTGTTAACCATTTGGTTAAATGATTCCAATGGTTTTGTTAACATTTTATTATTTTCGCTATTTTGTTGTCAATGAGTGTTGTCAACTTGTCCATTTCCGGCTTTTGCAAACTCACCATTTTCATCCCATCGATTTCCCAAATTTAAGTTCCGTTGCTGGTGTCATCCTGCGCGAAAATTTACCCGCTTTTGAGCGGATGCTATGGCGTGCCTGCAGCGGGAACGTTTTCCTCAAACAAGCTGAAATCGAATTGCCCATAGAGGACCTACTCACGGTACTCAGTACCTTTTTTCTAAGATTGATGTCGCATAGTTAAACACCAATTTTTCGAACCTTCCATTGTCTTTTAGGGTGAGGAGGTTTACAAAACCGTGTTCATAATATTCTTCCAAGGTGACCAACTCAAAATGCGAGTGACCAAAATATGTGAAGGGTAATTACATTTATTCTGTTAGAAAATCATATGCTACTATGTGCTCAAATTGTTTGAAGGTTTCTTTAATATAAAAAAAATGGAAATAAATTTTACTATTGTTCTAAATATTTTTCCAGATTTCATGCCACAATATACCCCTGCCCCGAGTCTGCGGCCGATCGTCGGACAATGCTGATTGATGTGGTTCAAAAGATCGATGATTTGGAAACCGTTCTTACTCAAACGCAACAACACCGTCAGAGAATTCTTGAGGCCGCGGCAAAAAACCTCAACAATTGGTTCATTCGAGTGCGCAAAATGAAAGCTATTTACCACACGCTCAACCTCTTCGACCTGGACGTCACTACCAAGTGCATGATTGGGGAATGTTGGTGTGCGGTCAGTGACCTTGATCAAATCAATCTAGCTCTATGTCGGGGCATGCAAAAGTCGGGTAGCACCATCCAGCCCATCCTCAATGTTATGCCAACGAAAGACCCGCCTCCGACATTCCACAGGACGGATAAGTTCACTGAGGCGTTTCAGGGGATTGTCGATGCTTACGGAGTGGCAACGTATCGGGAGGTAAATCCGGCCCTCTTCACTCTGATCACATTTCCCTTTCTTTTTGCGGTGATGTTTGGTGACGCGGGACATGGGTTGGTTATGTTTCTATTTGGACTGTGGATGGCTTTGTGGGAGAGACGTCTGATTGTAAGTCTACTTTTGCATTAATTCATCTCAACACTGTTAATTATCCATCCCTATCTGTCTGTGCATCCACTTACTAATTCGTGCACCCATTTATCTTGACCCCTCTTATTTCTCCCGTATCCACCCATCTATCCTTTCTTCCACTTCCTAATCGTCTTTCTGACCTAAGGATAATAAATATGCATCACCTCATTAGATCTATGCAGCGTTTACACTCCCTTTAATTGGTCATTCACTCATCGTTCTCCTTTAACCCGTTATTCATTCATTTTCCGGTCTTAAGGCCATGAAAATCAAGGACGAGGTGTTTGACATCTTCTTCGGCGGTCGCTATGTGATACTTCTAATGGGTGCCTTTTCTATTTATACCGGGGTGATCTACAACGACATTTTCTCAAAGTCAGCTAATCTATTCGGGTCTTCGTGGTACCCCGGCTACGACAAACACATCATTTCGTCAAAGAGCCTCCTCCAACTTGAACCGCGCACCTCGGAGAACATTACCGATCAGATGTTCGCCGGTCAGCCGTATCCCTTCGGCATTGATCCGGTCTGGCAGATCTCCAACAACAAGATTCCTTTCATGAATTCGCTCAAAATGAAAATATCCATCATCTTAGCTGTTCTTCACATGATGTTTGGGGTTATTTTGAGCTTCTTCAACCACAAGTTAGTTGTTTCACAATAATATTCACAGCCTTAAATGATTCAAGTGGATTTTGTCGTAACTAACCTTGCTGTTGAATGTTTTGAAAAGATTCTTCAACAACACGCTATCGATATGGTGTGAAGCCCTGCCGCAACTGCTATTTTTGGCTTCCATTTTTGGCTATCTTGTGATTATCATTTTTTACAAATGGGGAGCTTACACAGCTGATGAGGCCGCTACAGCACCCAGTCTCCTATTGAGTAAATGGGCACATTTGTATTCTTACCTTCCTAGTGCTTATCAACATGTTCAGGTTCAACTATGAGGTAAAAGGAGGTGCTGGTGATCCGTTTTACGGAGGACAGGTGAGTGATTAGAGTTGGATACCTCATTTCTCACCTCCAGGCTGTTATTCAATCACTTCTGATGCTGGTTGCCCTGGTGTGTATACCGTGGATGCTCCTGTCAAAACCCCTCATTCTGCGATGGCGTTTCAAGCGTAGTGTGAGTTTAACTCATTTTATTCTTTTAAAAATCTTGGGGGAAAAGCTGGACACTCTAATAGTTACCCCTCCTGGGGCGATATCTAATAAAACCGATTCCTTTACTACTTTACATTTCTTTTTGGTTTCTAGGTTGATTTGAATCAAAGCACACAACCCAAACCAACACCACCACCGAGGCCACCAAAACCAGACTTCAGTGATGCTAGTCAAGGCAATGGGGGTTCAAAAGGACCAGATACTGATTCTGCAGTGCAAGTGGTAACTACGGATGATCATGATGGCAGCTTGGAACATGTAAGCCTGTCAGAACACAATGGAAATAAATATGGAAAACTTGGGTTTATGAATTTTAATAGATCTGGAAGTGATCTGAGCTAGTGTTGCAGTCAGGGCGGTATTGGCGATAAAGAATTCTTAAATTCTTGACTTTCAGTTTAATTTTGGTGAGTGCATGGTGTATTCGGCTATTCACACAATTGAGTATTGTTTGGGATGTATTTCCAACACGGCGTCCTACCTTCGACTTTGGGCTCTGAGTCTGGCTCACGCTCGTAAGTCCTCATTTACCTGGTAATTAGAAATGCAATCTCATCAGCAAAGAAAGCGCGGAGTCTCGTGGTCATTTATTCACTCAAATGTTTTTTTTGCAGAACTGTCTGAAGTGCTCTGGAGTATGGTAATGCAAATCGGATTGAAAATTGATGCCTACTATGGAAGTGTTCTCCTATTCCTGATATTTGCCGCATGGGCTGGATTAACTGTTGGTGTGCTTGTTATGATGGAGGGCTTATCCGCTTTCCTTCACGCAATACGGCTGCATTGGTACGATTTTATTTTGGAAAATTTGTGCCAACTTTGTGCTTATGTGCATCATGTATGTAATCTCATTGTAGGGTGGAATTTCAAAACAAGTTTTACTCGGGGACCGGCTACCTATTCGAGCCTTTCTCGTTCAAGGCATATATCAATCTTCCCCTTACTGAACCCTAGATCGGTGAACTAGACTGAGTAAACGTTGTGACGGGTGTTATTCTCAATGTTAAGTGTTGTCAGCGTTAATCTGCGTTGAATTTGGTGTACTCAAGATTGTGTTGTGTTTGCTGTCTACTGTTTTTTGGTTGTTTTTGAAGCTGATACTCAGTCACGCTACATTGGCCTCTACGTTGAACTGGTTGCCTCTTTGAAAATAACCTTGAGACGGTGCAGTTATGCTTATTACAACAATTCAGGAGCAATTTCTTGGCAATGGTATGGTGTAGGGTCTATCTGTCAAGGCGTCGGGTTTGTCGCATGGTAAAGGGACGGTAAATATCGATAATAGGGGTTTCAAATTGACGGCCAGGAGAGAAGTGATGTCTTGGTTGGGAACTGGGGAGGGCCATTTCTAGACATTCGACTCATTTTTGACTTTTTAAATGCACCTTTTAATGGCAATTATTCGAGTAGGAAGTAGTTTGAAACGGTCAATTACCTACTGAAGTTGGGACTGTACGAGTATTACCATTTATGCAGACTACTTACCTGAAAGCAAAGTTTGGACTAGATACAACTTTAATTTTTTAGTAAGTTTGAACTCGACTTTGCACTGGAGTTTGCTTGCATAATTAGTGCTTTCAACCAACTTCTACTTCAACATAATCATTCAAGGTCCCAACTGTTATTATGCGTCAGGTTTGTATAACATGCCTTGGCGCGCTTGTTGCAACTCTTGACCGTGGGTTTTTGCACCGTTTCGTTTAATTAATCTTCCCAAATCTAGTTATTTTCTTCTGGAGACTTACTTCTTCAATTACCCCTGTTCAAAATCCTAACTTGGATCACCTTAGCATAGCTTTACTTTAATGTATGATTGTCTTATCTCTAGTACGTTATGAATTTTCACATTCAAATGTGCTTTACCTCAGTGCTACCAACGAAACCTATTGGATATTCATTTAGTTTATCTAAAAATATACACCCAAAGACATCTTCCTGCATTTACAAAACCGCTTTAGGTTGTTGGTACTGCAGTTATTTCTGTTTCACAATGTTCGTGCTTTTTCCCAATCATAATTGATATTATGCGCCATGATTTTTTCATTTATGATGCGAATATGGCGCACAGTAACAGACAAACTATGCAAAATAAAGACACTTCTGCTACTGTTATTTACTTCAAGCATTATTTTCTTCATGATGCTGTATGAAAGAATATGAAGCCTGAACTAAAAAGGCAAACCACAACACGCCAGTTACTGACGCGCAAAGTACCAGCAAGGAGGCCAGCCCTGTCGACCGGCATCCAAAAGGACTGCGCTCGATTACTAAACGATCTCCTTGTTAGCGAGGATATAATTCAAAGCATCTACAAAAACATTTCTAGTATTTGCTTCCTCCTTTTATCTAACAAAAAACACCTTAAGGTCAGCCTGCTGTTGACAAAATCATCAGACCCTGCTCAAGTAAACAAAGGAATGTCTCGAATTCTGTTAGTATACCGAATTCCTCAAAGGTTTGCTGTTATAATAAACCATTAATGGTAACATATGCCAACATTTGAATGTGGTAGAATGCTTAATAGTCTCTCATTTTCATTGTACTACTAAGTCTTCTTCGAAAAAATCCACTCCAAGAATGATCGATGAGGAACTATCTAAAGAGTTTCCTACAGTTTCTGATGCACTGGAATCGCCAATAGATTTTGCTAATCTTCTTCAACGCATCAAATCTGTAGCGAAAATTCTTCGTAAGGATACTTCTGCATGTATTTTTATGGTAATGCTCTTTTGAAGGCGATGCAGATTTGGAATTCCTCGCAAACGACGCTGAAGAAGCCGCATCGCGTATTCTGAAGACCAATTTAGTGCATCCACAAGTCGCGAAATCTAGTCGGGCATGCCAAACCCCTACAGAAACGCGATCTGTCCAGTCCTCAACGACTTGCGATGTCGAAGTTGGTGTGCAGTACAGTCCTGTGTAAGATCTTCGGAAAATGGACCTATTTTCTTATTTAGTTATATTTTTTCATAAATTTTCTTTCCACTATCATAGTCATGCAGAAAATTTCGAAAAGCTGGAACAGAACAACGGCACCCTTCCTGGATCAACCTACAGCCTGAACGGCACCACGTCGACAACGATTCAATCAATAAGAACAGTGAAAAATTCTGACATGGTATACCTTAATTTTCACCGCTTTCATCTGTTTAGACTAGTGCTCAGTCTACAACGGGAGGGAATCTGAGCTCGCAACTGAAGTCTCTCAGTCTAACACTGAACAGGCAACAGGTGGAATACGAAAAGCAGCGCCTCGAGATGAACCAAAAGGAGTTAGCTTTTAAAGTAAACATCAAATGCTCCAAACTCCTGTTCTTTAACATCGCTACCTGTCGTAGGAATAGCGCACAATAGCAATCAGTGTTTATTGCATTTCGACTGGTGGTAGCAATATTTTCTTTAACTTTTCCTATTGGCTAACCGGGCTAAGCCACTCACGTCTTTAATTTGCTTTGCGTAAAATGCTCCCTAGCCAGTTGTACGAATTGTTTATTTTGGTGAAAGTCCATGCCAATAATAAAAATAAGCTGCTAAGCAGCAATTTCAAATGACACTACACCTAAAACAGTAGATTTGTGATTAAAGCCGCCTTTTCTTTAGAGTAATTTGGACGCGATGGTGGATCAATTGAGGAATTTGGTTACAGAGAACGCTAATTTGAGACATCAGCTAGCCAGTAAGGATGCTCAATTGACTTCTTTGGGTCGCCTGGTGCAAAAAGTCACCACAAAACTGTCACAAGCTTCATCTACACGGGCACCCAATGCAGGAGATCTGTTTGAAAATCCCGCAGGCAGCACAGTCTCCCACGTATCCCTGCCTCATCACACTCCAGGCAGGTAAGGGTTCTGTTCCATAAAACTTCAATTATCAAAGTCTATTGAATAGTTATGTGGTCTTGGATCTATCCAGTCAGATTTTTAGCCTGATTTCTCATGAGTATTGGTTTAGGTAATGTTTGAAGGGGTAAAATTGTGGCGCCGGCCTGGTAAATAGTCATTGCTCCTAAATACTTTGCAAGGTATGGATGTCTTGAAATCGTTATGTACATATATATTTCCATCTTCCACCACCAAATTCAAATTACCTAAGCCACCTCTGGGCAGTAAGCTCTGACGCTCCATGCCACATCCCCTCCAAATGTTACTATAAAAAGCCAATTCAATCACATCTCTAGCCCATTAAGCAAATAAGCTTGATCCACTTTCACCAATTCGAACCGAAATTTTGCAAAATGAGTACAAGTAAGTACTAGAAAGCACATTTTATCTTTGCACTTGACAAGCTATGATCATGGCACCGAACCGTATCCAAAAATGCTTAACATTTTCCGTCACTCGAAGCGCAATTGGTGCTCAATCTGCTTTTAGTTGCCCTGAAATCCAAAAAAGTAGCATAACATTGCCGGCACCTCCGATTGTTGCCTTTATTTGAAGCCGCCTTAAGGACAATTTCGGGTCTGTCTCCCTTGTTGGCTATAATTCAAAACCTGAGTTCAAGGCAGTTCACAAAATTCGGCATAGCATTAATAGCCCCTCTCGTATGAATCATCGTGAGTTCAGATGTTCATTGAAACTTTTTTAGGAACTTTTTTTGTCATAACCAACTGGTCCATTCAAATATTGCACACGTGATAAAAGCGGAACCACAAGACATTGACATGAGTCCCCTTCATTTATTTGATGTTATTGTTTTTCAGTCCACCCAATCTCACCTTTCTGCGGTGTCCATCTCGAAACAGTGACCTATTCCTGACGCCAACGGTAAGAGCTCTGTATGTGTGACATCTCCTAACTTACCCCCTACAGATAGTCCCTTTCGAAGGTCTCGAAGACATCGACAATGACAACATTACCAGTGTTTCAGCCGTGGAGTCGCGACGATGTGATCAAACCGTGAGTCTGCCCTGTCTTTTGGCTTGATAATGCAAAATCCTAGGATTTTTAGGACCATCTTCGTGTTCCTTTCTTCCAGAAGAACTTTGAAGGGAAAAATCGCAGTCCCTCGGCGAGTTCACTGAGCTCTCTGCGCACTGCCGACATGATGCAATTTCGAAGGGGTCTGGCAGCTCTAGACGATCAGATCGCGAAACTGCGCGACTCACTTCATCTCAGCGGTTGACTTTAATGATTTATGTGTTTAATTGATACTTTGGCCCACTGTTATTCCCGAATTTCTATTTTATTTCCCAATTTTTGCCCAATGAAGGCGATAAACCGATAAAATTCGAGCGTTTGTCCAGTAAATACCAGCTATTATACGCAAAACTATGGATTAATATACTAGAATTCACTCGGAAATGCAATAGAAATAGACACCCAGAAGTTCTACTTGGTTTTTACCGGATGCAAGGAGGCAAACAAGTGGGGAATCTCAATTTCTGGCCTTGAATTCGAAATTCAACTGACCATGGATTCCAAGAACGGGGAAGATTTTACCACTACATTGGAAAGTACTTCACCAATGGATTCCACTGCACAACTATTCAATTTTCTTTATCTCCAAAAAAATGTAAACAATTCGAGTGTATACGGCTGTCTTCCATTCATAAATTAACGAAGATCGGGTGCGACAAACGAAACTAGTTTTTGGATAACGAACCATAGATAAGAAAACAATCATCCAAATTCGCCTCGATCATCCTAATTAAGACTCGGCCTGTTTCAAAACGAAATAAAGTAGCGGGGAAGATTGACGCTAACGTGGCTATTTGACTCTCGAATTACACCTTAAGAAGGGGCCTACAGGTAATTCTGCTGTCGATGTACACGAGGCTTCAACACTTAGGCCTAATTTTGCCTAATTGATCCCCCGTGGCTACATTTACTTGCATTCCATATCGCTATGGAATACAATCTGTTTAGGTGTTTACACAAGTAAGCAAGCTCTTTCAAGTTCCCACAATGGTGGCACCGAGTTCGCCTAACGCACCCATAATGACACTACTTCCAGACTTATTTTTTCAATACTTAGCCCGAAAAATAATGAGTCTCACATTTAAAGTTTAACGTCCAACAATTATAGCCAAAAATAAAACCACTCTACTCTGTCCATTGCCTACTTACCCTTCGGCTATCATTAATAACAACTACAGCTCCATTGAACACTTCCAGTCGATGGATTGACGAATAGACAGGGTGTCTCGTATAACAGACATTCAGACAAACAGACAGAGACAATGCGAATAAATGAGGTAGTCCAGTTCTCGAGTGCCGAGGAATGTAACCGACAGCAATTTGATCTCTAAGCTTCGAGAAGTCGCAGAAGTCGACCAACAAATTCCAGTGGCGGCAATGTTGCCTCACCGTCGGAAGCAAGAAAGTCGTCGGTGGTGAAAAAGAGCGTCGATGTCTTCTTTGACGCCACCGCAAACGCCTCAAATCGGCGCAATTCGATAGCCCGACCTTGTGCGAAGATCAGCGCCACGCCTGGTGGTCAAAGAAAAAAAACGAGTGAATGAACTGAAGCATTTCCCAAAGATTGAAAGAAAAAAGCAGCTAGCAAATGGATTATAAAAAAATGGAATCTCTAGCACAAACTGTTTCAGCATCCAATTGTTGAAATGGTTAGTAAGCATTAATTATCCGATTAGAACTAACACATCAAAGAGCGCATGAAAGCAGGGTAGGGTTGACAAGTGAGAGCACGATCACCTTCGTGCTAGCCGTTCGCCCCTACTTTTGGCCATTAATTAGCGATTTAAGGAAAGGAACGAAAAAATTAGACGAAAAATTGGACAAGGAGACAGACTCAGTGCCCCCTTTAAGAACCTCGAACAAAACGCAACCCATCTCAAAACATAACTTGTTAAATTGGTTCCAGGTATGCGGAAACAGGAAAAAAATCCTACCGGAATTACAATTCGCCCCAGTCCACAGATGTTCACAACAGGCTTCCAAGACGGTCATAATGTCATCCATTGAAATACTGCAATGGGAAAACAAGGAGACAGGGTAAACGGATGTAGTTGTGACGATGGGAAAATAGGATTAATTAATCGTTCGGCTTTGTAGTTTAACAATAATGTTGTCAGATCCGAGGTGAATACAGTCTCGAAACCAATTTGTAAATTGCACTAGAGTGGAACGAATAGCACTGCCATGAAATTTACGTGTCAACAGCACACATGACCTAAAGTGAGTGAACAAAATTATCTGTCTCGTGGAGTCATCGTCTACCGAGTGGATGGAGGCGTTCGAAAATGACCGTACGCCTGGTGTGACAAATGCCGAGCGTCCAAGGGGTCAAGCCGATTGCTGTCACAGCCACGGGGAACCAGGCATCAATCGTGGAGCCGATTTACCGCAACTATAATCCAGACGATTCGAGGTGTTGTGTGGAAGCCAAATGAGTGTTAGGTGCCCTTGTGAATGTTTACTAAACATGAATCAACAAATCATTGAACACAAACATAAGTTAACGCAATCCCCACTATCGCACCATCCCAACTTTCCCATCCAGTCACAAATATGCGACCAGTTATCAGTTTGCGGTAAATGGTTTTACCAAAACTTGACGCAAGCAAATTAATTGAGCTCAAAGAGATAAGGCTCGAGTGAGGAAATCTCAGGAAAAAAATTAAATTTCCTTATTTTTGAATAATAGTTGAACTGGTCAAATTAAAAACAGAGAGGATAAAAGCACACTGAACCACGATCAGTTTTACCCAGCGTGTCGTTTTAAATAGCCTGGTGACCTATACATTGTAGATGACACCTATAAAGTGTTCTTGTTATCCCTTTCACTCTCAAAGCTGAATACCCAGTTTTTCAAACTCACGGGGCTGTAGACTTCATAGCCGCAGCATATATCGCAAGGGCACGCTTAGCATCCACCTCTTCAGAGCGCAAAGAATTATACGGAGGCCACAGCAATAGTCGCGCACACCGTGCTCTCCACGCCTCCATCCCTCCGACTTCTTGAGAGTTAGGTGGCAATGACGGTGGAGGTGTGAGGATGTAGGGTCGCAGTCGGGCAAAGAGCGGCTCCACGCCGGAGGCGGAGAAGTCGGTCACGCCGACCGACGAGTCCACAAGGTGACGGTACGCAGAGGTGAGGAGATCAGCAGAGGAACGGAAGAAGAGTAGCAGGCGTTGAAGCACCTCCTGAAGGTCGCGGCAGATGCGTTCGTGCTAATGAGGAGGGCGAAAAACATTAGAGAAAACGAAAAAAAAATATCAATTGTGGTGGCCTCAGTGATGAAGTTGGATTCGGTGATTTCCGTGTTAGTGTTAGTGGTGACGGTGGTATTGGTGATAGCGGTGATTATTTCAGAGGCATCAATGATAGTGAAACGAACCTGTAGCCAGTCAGATGCTGCCGTGGATTTGCAGGTCTAGAAAATCACGAACGAGAAATGCTTGGTTTAAATGGTAGAGATGGCTCCCACCCTTATTCAAAATAAATATGCAACAGGAAGACACACCGTAGCGAGTTTCCGCATCGCCTCCTCCCATTCCTCGTAGGTCGTGCTGAGTTCCAGACACAGACTCACAGAATGCTCATCGATAAGAGAGACCTATCGTCAAATGACAGACATCAGGATCCACTAATGTGATCAGTTTTTTCTTCTCTTTTTGCTAAGCGCTTAATTTCCTTTCTTATTTTTTAATATTTCTAAGGAAAGCATAACCCCATCGTCCAGATTTAGGATCGTGATACGAATTTACTGGATAGAAAATTTAAATTGTGGAAATAACAATTAAAATTTATTTTATCAGGTAAACAAATTCTTAGTGAGATTTAAAAGTGACAATAACTAGGTAGATACAGGGAGCTCCTCGAAATATTTCAGTAGGTAGAATAATCAAAGGCTAAAACCTGTAATATCCTCCCCATGGAAAGCAAGCTTGGTGCAAGCGCCACCATCATAACACGGTTTGGCTTTAGAAGCAAAGTTTTTAGTCTTGGCCCTAATCACCTCCTTTTCCATTTCACTTTTCAGCTTTTATTTCACATGTAGTCACGTAATTGTCTAGAGCTAAGCGATGGCAACCATCACACGAAGCGATAGCATGGGAGCTATATGGCGGATGAGGGTTGGGACTGGAGGGAAGGTGGGGTTAAAGGTGAGGATAAGAGTAGAAGTGAAGATGTGGCTTGGGATTAGCCAGTATCGCTCTCCCCCCATCACAAAGTGCAAAGCCTCTCATGGGCAAGTTTTACAACACAAAATGAGGTCTTGCATTGCCATGAAAGAAAAGTTCACAACCAATGCTGCCTGTTTCAAATGGGGAAGTTGTTCTTGCACACCTTCCGGTTACATCGCGTTTTATGGAGTACATGGATGTCAGGTGTAATTGTCTGGTCTTCAGCAAGTGAATAATTCATTTGGAACAATTGAGTCCACAGTCCGCCACAAACAAAGCACACTTGATTTATTAGGGGTGAAGTGTTTAGTGCCTCAAGTGCCAGGAGGTAGTGTGTGGATAGTTTGGGAACAGCTAACGAAGTTTTCGCCTGCTTAATAAATTTGGAAATAAAAAGAACATTTCTCGTTGTATGTAAACCAGACAGAAAAATTCGTCTCCTAGCGGTGCATATTATAAGGCGAAATTAAGAGGTGGAGGACAAATTGATAGACCTCTTTCCCGTCCCGGTTGATGTAGTTCGTTATTCGCTTCAAACAGTGATGGAAGTTCTAGACACGTGTTTCTTCATTAGAATAGCATAGAGACTCTTTTTGAAAGTGATATACATTCACAGCTAGAATTACACTGTTTAAACCATTTCTGGGCAATGCGTTCAGTATCACATATCACACGAGCGCTACACAACAGGCTATGCAAGAAATTTCTGCATCGACACCAATGAAAGGGAACTAAACTGGACTCGTAAGGCAAATAGGTTTAAATCTCATCAACCAGATTCAACCGGCTTCTAGTGATATAAGGGCATTGTAAAGAGTACCGTACTAATGACGAACTGACGCTTCCCATTCGTGCTTTAAAGTGCATGCTGGTTACGAAGTATCCAAAAGTTACAACAGGTCATAGCAGCGACCTCTACAAAAAGTTTTCCGAACTTTTTGATCACCTAATATGCTTCACCTATCCACTGACGTATAAAATGCATCATTCGCCATTGCAATCGCAGTAAAAAGCTCCATATCCTCACATTCAATTACTGCCTTTCAAAGGCGATCTCCACTTCATCCGTCCCAAATATTGTAATCATTTTAAACAAGTTTAGGAGATGAAAATTCCTCTTTAGAATAGCAATTGTGTATGAAGCGTTCATTCGTAAAAATGTTTTGAAATAATGTTATCATCAAAATGGAAATTGATTAGGATTTAGAATCTCATTCCTAAGCACAGGGCAGTTGATTATCAAGTGTAGATGATGGTAAACATTTGAGGGTGGGGTGGATTCAAATTCAATCTTTAAGACTCAACGATTGACTTTTCTGGGAAAGCAAATAAACATTGGGACATCAACCAAATCCAGAAAGGACAATCAGCTAGGGTGATTAACAACAAATAGCCTTAACACTTAACGCACTTTAATGAAGTTTTCGAGGAAAAGACAGTTAAGAGTGCTTAAAGGTTAGTGATTCGGAAGTACGACAATGAAACAAAGCAGGAACAAAAAGGAAACAGACAATTTGGGTGGTTGGCGACGCCTCTTTTTAGAGAATGATCTTAGTCTTGGCCCCAATTTCGCGTGCGATTTCTTTGCGGAAGAGCTGTCTCAACGTGGCAAATATCCCAATTAAGATGAATTTACTCAAGAAACGGATTTAAGAGAGAGCGAATAGGTGTATATACAGCTGAAGTCAGTGTTGGTGCCCAGCAAATCACTTTGCATAAACAGTTTTGGTGTAACAGAATTCATTGACCCATGAAATTACCACAAGAGGGCGAATAACGAAAGTTTGCCCAAGGTTATGCTGAACTCAATGTCAAAACGGAGCTTTGCATATCAAATGTGCAACTCAAAAGCCCAGCTTTCTAATGAACTAATAAAATGAAGCTTACGCTGTTGGGATGAATTGCAAAGAAGGGCACGGGAAGAGCATCGCCCATAATGGCGGCAATTTTGTCTGAAATAATAAAAATAAGCTAAAATGAATAGGAACAAATTCGCTACTTTCTCAAACCTTCCCGCCTAATGTTTGCACACAATTTAGACAAATTGGAAGAGGAAGCATTCAGATAATTGTCTCTTCAATTTCTCCTGCCTAATATTCGAATGCAATTTCTTAAATAAACAAAATCTTGCACAAACTACCGAATCTACAAATCCCACTTAACTCTCCTCTGAGTCAGACAATCAAAAGTAGTAGCAGCAACAACACTAGACCAGATAACGAATGGAGAAAAAGACGAACAGTAGACCAAGGCAATTTTCCCCCAGACCAACTTTAAACTGAATTTCGCTTAAAATGAACCTCAACCATACAAATCTCCTTTAATGATAAAAATGCAAAATTTTCATCACCGTCTGAGTTCATTCTGATAGTAAATCTTACTGCGTAGATGACTCAAGAACAGAATGACGCAACTTATCTGCAGCCTACTTAAATTAGAGATCCGAATTTCGGAATCAAGATCGCTGCTCGGTGGACATCGAAAGAAGGCCAAATTTGCGAGTTCCACAGCCTGGAGAGTTGTGCGACGAAGCATACCCGAAAAGGTGTTCCTTAAACTGGTCAACAAAAGACGTAGACGATCAGCCTGTGCACTAGTCATTATTACTCGCATCGATGACTGCTGAAGAGACTTAAGCTGACGTTGGCAGGTCGTCCAGGCAGTTTCCGATGGCGTCTGATAAAAAAGAACCAGATCAACAAACTTGGAGAAAGGAGGGAGAATTCTGTAAGAGCCAGCTCTTACTGGAATTAGTAGTTGTTCAGGAGTGATACCAGCTGTGGAAGAAGCTTTGTCAGCTTCAGGAGGAGATACGAGAGCGCAGCTGCTTCTGGACATTCTCGAAGACAGGTTAGGTGGCTGCTGAGTTCCTAACTCTAGACTGCGTTCGAAGCGTCGGCGTCGGCGTGGCGGTTTTACCGGTGGCATAGGGGCCTCCATGACGTCTGGCACGCCGTTGGATGTGATGGTGGGAATCTTGAGAAAGGACGATGTGGAGGAAGATCGCTGGAAGCTTTTGGGCACAGCGTAAGATCCGCGCTTGAAAACTGCAGTGGGCTGCCCGTTGGTCTGACCGGGTAGGGAGTCCAGAGATCCACCAAACGTTGTCAAAGCCCGTCGACGTCGCCGGGAGCATACCGCTTGCGGTTGTATCGAGAGAGTCAGTTTTCGTGAATCTACTCCAAAAGATTACGAAATTTTAAGATAAATGAAAGCCAAATGGTATCTTTAACTAAACGGACGTTTTGGACTTTAACGACTCGACTACCACTAATGCCAATAAGAAGGGTACTTCCATATTAAACATGAACGCATACTCGATGGAGCTATCTGATATCCTTGCATGGTCGGACTGATGTTCGAAACAGTGCCAACAGTCACGTCAGCCGTAGGAGACGCATCCGTTAGCCACTTGACTGGACTCTCATCCCGCGAGGTCCATGCAACCAGGAGCTGTGAATTAAATCTCCGATGGAGCGTTGAGGGAGCTAGTAGTGCGACATTTGGCGCAGGATCTATGGCTGCGACGGGTGCGGCGGAGGATGAAGCGGAAAGTTGCAGCGAGAGCTGTGACTGTCGTTCCGCCACCGCATCTGGCACTGTCGGCAAGGCGACAGCCAGAAAGTCGCCTCCTTCTCCCTCTAACTCTTCCTCCTCCTCCTCCTCCTCCTCCTCCTCCTCCTCCTCCTCCTCCTCCTCCTCCTCATCGTCATCCTCGTCTTCCTCTTCTTCCTCTACGTCTTCCACTTCAAGCTCCTCACCTTCATGTGGAAGCTGACGTTGAGGTTGTGAGCAAACTGGTGGAGAGATAACAAATGGCTCCCCAGTGGCGATGGTAGTGTTTGGAAGACTACTATCTTCGCCGACACTGAAAAGGTTAGAAGGCTGGTTTGTTTGTTGCTGTTGCCCCTGGGACTGCAGCTGTGGTTCTGACTGTTGTTGATCATCACCTTCTTCGTGGAACTCGGTATGGGAGGTGATGGAATGGCCGCGCACGCCCCATGGGCATCGTGATTGGTCCTCCTCAACCAAAACAAGAAGTTGTTGTGAGTGCAGGATGGTACCATAGTAACTGCCGTGGTAACAACTTCTCAAATCTTCTAATAAGGGGTACTTCCGAATTTGTATGCTCTCAGTCTTCAGAACCTATATTATTGACATCCCGATGGAACGTGTACAAAGCTTCACACTAACCGCAAAGACTACAGTCTTGCTGGAAGGCTTACGTCTAAAAGCATCGGGCTTTCGCCGCACCATAAACATAAGTTGGTGCTAAAAATGACTGAAACTACAAAAGCTCTTAACAGAAGGGTGGTTAAAATTGTCTTAAATTTAAGTTTGGTATCGTATCGAGTAATGGAGTGAGACTAGCACAAGGCAATTTTAAGTCGCCCAAAGGGAACTACTTATAAAGCCAATGTCAAAGGCAGGAGAATCGCGAGTAAAATGTGACGACATAGTTTCAACCTACAGCATCGCAAGAGTAACAATGACGAATGACCGAAGGGATTGGAACGGCAATGAAGGGCACAAGGAGAGCGACATCAGAACGAAACGCAGAGGAACTACCATAAGGCAGTCAGTTAAGCTCATGACGTTTCTTAGAATCAAAATAGATAACTGCAAGAGGCTCTCCAAAATAATCCATACATTGAAATATTTGCTGCTAAAATTCTCCAATCTTTTCCCAAGTAGGCACAAGCTTGTCACGAATTCCACCGTCATAACAGGTTTAGTCTTTGGAAGTGAGAAACCCAGTCCTAACCCCGACCAACTCCGTTCCCACCTCACTTTTGCGTCAACTGTTCACTGTCAATTTCGCATACGGTCACCCCGATTGTCTAGTATAAATTTATGACAACCATAACATAGGGATACATTTAAATTCCACCGTTTTGCTATACCAAGTTGCATCTATTCGCTTATTCAGAGGTAAACGCGAAGTTGTCACCTACCCAGGCTGCGTCAGGCAAATCGAGGAAGTTGATGTTCATCAACTGGGCGTCCAGGTAGGTGTCCAGGTCATGGAAAACTGCAGCACGCTCTGCACTGCTAGTGTCATCTAAATGACCGTCGTCTGGGAGGGAAAATGGAAAGGGAAGGCATTGGTTAGCTAAACCTTATCTGCGAGATGAACATAAACGAAACAATTTTGAAGTTCGAATTTCCTTGATAATGCTACGCACCACAAACTAGTAAATTCAATTAACCATACTGTACAAACCTAGCCCTAGAACTCAAATGTGTCGCATTTGCATCACTTATGAGACCATAGCAAATTAACAGTTCGCTAAAAGTTACAATGTTTAGTGAGATTTGCCCAACTTTGACACCGCAACATTCGATTTACTTATAAGAGACGGCAGTAACTGACAAAAATCACCGGAGAACGTACCAGGATTGCTGGCATCATTAATGGAGTTTGTTTCACTGCTCGAATGCATGCTCAGCTGACGATCTAAAGTCTCCGTAGACTGACTGAATATCACCTAAAATCCATGTAAACACAGAACGTGAACAGAAATGCGTTTAAATTCCAAATAAGGCAGACCAAATGATCCTTATGAAGGGAGTTGGAGAAGAGCAAGGGAAACTCAAATACACCACAACACCACAGCCAATATTGACAACAACAGCAGGAAAGAAATAGTTAATCGAGACTAGCTCTATTCCACTAGTGTGGCGTAATGGGTGCACAGAAAAGTCCTCGAGGAAGACTGATTCAACCGATCTATCGACACATGGAGATCTGCAATTCACCACCGATCTGCACATCACTTGTTATGCTAGATGCCTAAATTGGGATCATTGACTGATGACTGACAACTTATTTGTACACCAGTTAATTGCGGGAAATTATTCAAGAAATTAGAGCTCAACCAAAAAACAACGTAAACAACAGCGAGATCAGAGTCCATGATTACCAAAGAGAAAAGTGATAACAAAGAAGAAAAAACCAAGATCAGAAATAAATTAATGAGGAAAAAGGTAAATAATCGGATGCACTCAAATAAGGGATGAAAGGGATTAGTATTTAGTTTCTGTTCAGTTAAGTGCAATCATTTCGAGTTCGACTAGAATATGACAGAAATCGGGTGAAAGGAAGCTACGATAAAAAAGTAAGATGAAGATATAGGGAAAAGTTTTGTGTGCATAACAACTCACCTTCTGTTTTGAAGAATTCTGAGAGGGCAAGAGACAGGTGGATAGTAAATAATATGAAAAAAGCCAACTGCCTTTTTATTTTGGGAAAAAAAACTTTTTAACCAGTCAGCCAAACTTACAGATGGACTCCTTGGGGCCGTTAAATGATCCAACTCCGATCCGTAGCAGTTCAGGAGATTCGTAAACAGCCCTCGGAGCCGAGCCTATCAGAGGGAAGAAATCGGTCACTCAAACTCCCGATTTCTGAACAATATAATTCCCAAAGAACAAGTTTTATCAACCTGTCGATTCCAGGGTGTCTTCCAGGCGCCAAGGCGGAAGAAAGAAGAAAAGGAGGCAGAGAGACCACATGCTTCCACTAGATGTGCAGTGCGTGCAGGCGACCGATGCTGACTCTGGTCAGTGGCAGAAGCGGCACCAGGGCGAGGCGAGGTCTGTCCACGACCACCGGCAATGAGTGGTGCGGATTGAAGGACACTGCTATCGAAATCGAGCACGCGACCAGCCAGAGCGATGCGTTGGGGTTCCGCCTCGGGTAGAGGAACGGCAGCGGCAGCAGCTGCAGCAATACTGTCCAAAACTCGCCCGCTCCCGGAGGGATCAAGTCCCGGGAGAGTGTAGACCTCGGGATTACTGGGCGCTGCGGTGAGGGTTGCGGAGCGAGCGACCACGACTTGGTAGAGGAGGGTTACTTCTGGCCATAACGGTGTCTGTGAAAGAAAAAATTAATTAGCTCAATTTGTGACCTGAAAGGAATGTCTGAAAAGTTAGCATTCTGACCAATGAAAACGTAGACATGTAAGGTTTTGAAACTGAAAGCCTCTGCATGAAGTATTGCAAGTATTAATCGAGGGACACACCAACTTGCATCGTTTGATGGCTAAAAAAGGAGGATAGAACAATAGGGAGACACTTAGAACGGTTCCATGCTTTTATAGCGTTCTTGAAAACGGTTGAGCAGTAGGGATTTGTCGGATCTAAACACCTCATGCAAATAGTTCTGCTTGGCGAGACGGCTAATTTTACACTTTAGAGTGCAGAGCAGGAAAGCTGTGTGAATGGCGGGTCCGCCTCTGCCCCGATTTATAATAGTCTCAAGTCTAATTTTAGAGCACCTAACCGGCAATCGCGAAATATGGGGCAGTTTTGGAAAATTTGTATGCAATTCAACAAATGGTGATGGTTTCAGGGATGTGAAGGTAATCATGGCCAGTCCGTAAGTTGTGAAAGTTCAATTTTGGATGAGTAACATAAAAAGGAGTGAGAAATCTTTATGCGGAAACAAACAGCGGGTCTTGGAATCCTATCTTCGTTTCATGGGCAAAGATTCTTGAAAGTACAGTAATATTTACAGCATCTGGACCGCCATCACTGTCACAGTTCGGCCATTTATGCTTCAGAAATACGTTTGGTGAAGGGTTTCGACATCCAACGCCAAGGTCCTTTGATAAGCATATATATGTATCAGCGTTGAAGGACCTGGGTGGTGGAGAAGTCTGCAACCTTGTAGAGAGCGTTCGTTTCACTTCGCTAGAAGCCTCCTTGCACAAGCTTAGTTCTCATTCTAAAACAACTGGAAGCCCGCACTCCCGTTTACGTCTCCTGATAAACTTTAAATGCCCCGATAATTGTTATGAGGCGCCAAAGCCTACCAAAACACTATAAATACGCAGGAATGGAATCACCTCATCCATCACCAGTCACACACAAAGCTCCGCAGCTTACTCATACCGGTCAGCAAAAAGGTCATCCGCAATGAGGTCTATCCGTTGCTTATTCGGATTGGAAACTCGACAAGATCCAGGCCCGCGCACGCAAACGCCAGTTTATGATACTGACAACTTAGGATTTACACATTATCAGAGATTATGTTTAGGAAGGGATTTTATCGACATTTCAAAGATAGCAAAAAGTTATTTAACAGCTCAAGAAGCATAAAAACCTTATTTCTCTACCGGTCTACAGGTCTCCATAAATTGAAAGAACCAGAAAAAAATTGAATCAAAGTTTTGCTAGTCGTAGAACCGAAGTGATGACTCACATTGACAAAACGCTCGGAGGTGGCAGTGATGAAGGCCCGGATGCGACTGCTCATTTCCGATTGATTAAGTTCCACTGTTTGCAAAAACCAGTACCCGAAGTGCAACAGTGAGAGTTGGACGCAGGGTGGTCCCAGAGTCAAAAACTACAAGAGCGGAGAAGACACAGAGCAATTCAGCTTGAGTAACTAAATTATGGGAAAAAAGCCACTTCTAAGGTTGTATGTTTATCTACACAGACCCTTTGGCATTCAAAGCTTCACTTATAATCGTGACATTATGAATTTCTGCTCATATACATCTATCGTAAGGTTATTCCATACTTGTTCACCTTAAAAAGCCCTCAGGGAGGATGCCAGGGGGGGAGGCGCAACAAAAAGAGGTTGGCGAATTGAATACTGCTCCATAAAATTCACAGTTTCTGTAATTATTCCCTCCATTCTTTCTCTAAGACCGACACGTTACCTACTTCCAAATGTGAAATTTAGAACAGAAAGAGTAAGAATGAGGTAAACCCACAGACTTCACCAATTACCAAGATTTTAAGACATTACGACAAATGGATCAGATCAAACCGAACTGGTAATCTACTTTTTAAAAAAAAAACAAACATCGCATTGATCTTGTTTGAAAATTGCAACAAATTTTCTTTTAAAGGTCGGAAGTTGACCGTGTGGTCCATTGGAACTAGTTTTCCACACTTAGCACCACAAAAAACTAAACCGTAAAATATTTGGTGTACATAACAGGTATCTGTTCACAATTTCACACCTCAAATGCTGGCTGAAGTGCATTCAAGCAACTAAGAACATAGAAGGCATTTTGAAGGATGTGGATGAAGTTTTAGTGAAGGAATTCAAGTACTCTCACTTTTCAAAGCCATAAAAAGGGAAATTTTCTAGTCCCACCTACTTTTCCATTACCGATGTGGATAGACAGCATTCTTGTTAGAAGCCCGCTGGAGTGATAATAGGCGACTAATGTAATTTTGGATAAATTTGGATTGTGTGCATGCTAGGTTATCAACATAACAATGTCCACGATGACTACTAATTCAGCACCGCACAATAAAAGCCAAAACGGTGATCTTTATTAAAAGATTATAACTTTCCACATCAATGACCATTAGAATAAAAGGCAATAAAAGATTTAGTACATTAAAACGAGCAGAAAATATGGAATTTGCAAAGGCAGATATTTGTTTAGAATCGGACCTCGGCGACTTTGAACCACAGAAGACGAACCTCATAGCAATACTCTTGAGTAGTAGAGGATATATACAACTCACAACCAAGACATAAATCGATGTCACAAGTATAATATGCTTCAATAATGATAATTCGTAACTGTCCCTCTCATGTTCCTCGAGTTTCTCCGACTTACCGCAGTTAGAAAGGTGAGAATCCGTGGCCCAAGACCAGCACAGCCATCCATGAGGTAGCGGGTGACGCATTTAGCCCACTGGTTCACATCCCTCGAGAAGGTTCCATTAGAGTAAAGGCGTAGGACAATGGCGAAGTTGTTGAATCGATAGGCGTCCGTCTGTACCGCCAGCTCTGCCAGCTGCTCCGCCGCCTTCAATTTTTGATTTTGAGGAGAACAGAGCAATCAGTAGGTCGTTATGCTAATCTGTACCAGTAAAACTTGTTATGCGACGACAATCATCACTTCAATTAGTGTTATAGTTGCGAGGACTTAAAAATGTCAATAAGAGCTGTATTACTGAAGACTATCATACGGCTTTCAATCTTCTTACGAAAAAAGAAAAAGTAGGTGGTTTAGGAGAATTACTGTCATTCCTACTAGTAAACTTATTAAATCGTGTTTTTTGGCCACATTTAGGTCGACAATGCGATTGTTAATAGTAAAATACTCTCGGAAACTGTTTCGGTGCTTATTTTTCCATCGATGGAGAAGTGAATGTTTCACGACAAATAAATCCTATTCCTATTGGTAATGCGCGTTATAATCTGATAGTCACCATTTCTGCCATAACAACGATTACTACTACCAACCCAACTGCTACTAGAACTATGCTCTGCAGATTTCGCTTTTCAAGAAGAAATAAGCAAACTAGTAATGAGGACCATCGCCACTCTCACTAAAACTATTACTGCAACATTATATTAAAGCCTTACTACAGTTGTAATCTGTGACACACATAGTACCAGTAATACTACTAAAAACAACAAAAAAGACTAGACTGTCACCAAATGATTAATGAAAGTGGTGCCATTTCTTACGATTGTGCATTTGAAATCATGACTATGCTCACTCTACCAAAGCTATTAGCTTCCAGCCCTTATCCAAAGTTATAAAAGAATTTCTTTAGCGATAATTCCGGTGCTGCGTCGGTGGCAACGGCAACCGAGTCCACTCCAAAAAAAGGGAATTTTCGTCCAGATGTCCGATGTGAGGGAAGAATATTGAGAATCTCACTTTTATAACACGCTTTTTCACCAGAAGCAAACAACCTAGCCCTTGCTCCACCCACCTCCGTCCTCACCATATACATGCCAGCTGTTCATTGCCTATTTCGGCTTTGGCCACGCATTTGTTTGGCGCTAATCAGTGACAATAATCACATGGAGGAATGCCATCCGGAGAAAAACGAAGGATGAAAAAGGTGTGGATGACGATGAGGAGTGGGATTAGGCAGTATTCCCCTCCCACCACGAAGCGCGGAGCTTCTCATGGGAAAGGCTTACATTATAGAATAGGCGGTCTTGTGTTGTCATAATGGAATAAGAACGGAACTCTGCCTAGAGCAATTTAATACTAGTCCTACCTGCATCGCAGAAGCTCGAGTTTCACCGCGTTGTGTCCAACAGATAGACCTCAGGCGTAATTGACTAGTCTTTGGCAAGTGAATAATTCATTTTCAGCAATATAATCTACAGTCTTCAACACACATGCACGCGCACCCACACACTTGAATAAACAAGCTCAGCGCCATAAGAGTACGCAGGTGGTCTGGGGATAGCCAGTGGTATATTCGTTTGGTTAAGGAATTTCACAATGAAAAACTACCAAAGCCATTTCTCAGCATAAGTCAATCAATCAGCAAACAATGCTTTTCTAACAGCGCGTTTCAGAAGACGAAGTGAGGAAGTGAAAGATTAATTGTTAGTCACTGAAACCTATTTGCGACGCATGGATGCCACCTACTTGCTTCGATTCCACGAATTTCCTAGCTGATATAGTTGCCAATGAATTATTTCATCGCGTACACTAAACATTACTGAAAGTTGTTCTGGATACGTTGGTGCTAAATTTTTCGCTACTAAGACTTTTAGACAAATGTGCCGTATAATCTCTTTAGGTATAACTGGACTACATTAACAAGCAATGAAACCGCCAAAACTGATGCAGATGAGCTGAGAGTTACCTCATTCAACATTTCTACCAACTGATTGCACTTGCCAATCGGAATCATAAGCATTGATTCAATATCTCTAACGGAGATTCCAGCTGCACGGAAATGAAACGAAAGCTAGCTTTAATAACTCAGCAAAACTTCACCTAATTATCAATGTTTCGGTACTACCAATGCTGCTATAGGCAACAAATCGACAATTCACATGTAGCTTAGATGGCCAAGCTGCGTACAGACCGAAAATAACAACTAGCTGTTTCGTTTTTGAAAACGGGAATTTCGGCATCAAAAAAACACGAATGAGGTTTCTAAGTTCAGTCAAACCGTCAATACTGCTAAAATCAATATAAGCATCAGTAATGCTCACCAGAACGCAAATGGGATTCCGTGGTCTCAGCTGAGGTGCCTTTTTAGCCACAGCACCAGAAACAAGGATAGCAGTGATAAGAGAGAGCAGTCCACTTGAAGGCGAGGGCACTGCGGTCTCCGAGAGGACCACACTCCTATGTACCCACGAGCCCAGAGGGGGTGGTGGCGAGGATGAAGACGGTGATGAAAAAGGTGAAGCCACCGCAGGACTTCCCAAGCCTTCTGCACATGCCTCACACACCTCCGCAGCAGGAATTGCAGGTTCTGGGATAGTTGAAGTAGGACTATCGGGGTCCTCATCCCACGCAGTTAACAGCATGGGTAGAAGAGCAATCACTAGACTGGGTAGGCTTCCAGGATAGGAAGTACTACTCCCCGTAGAACAAGAAGTACCACTCATCGCAGCTCGACGATATTGCCGGGTCTCCGCATTGGGATCCACTATTGGTGATTTAACCGCGAGGATGAGGTGGACTAAGAGGCGACAGGAGGTATCGATCAATGTGGAAGAGAAGCATCCCTTGAGGAGGAGACCAAGGAGGCCTGGGTAGTCACCATCCTCGGTGCCGGCGGTCCATTTGAGGCGATGAAATAGTTTTAGGACGTGATCGTGGAGACTTGGAAGGTTCTGCTGCTGTTGTTGAGGCGTCCACTTGCGATTGTTGGAAGAGTTTGTGGTGGTGATGGTAGCAGTGGAAGCGGTGTTTGAGAGAGAGCAGACGCAAGGAAGGAGACGGGAGAGAAGGCGAATACCCGCGAGATACTCATACTCGTAATCAGAGTCAAGAAGACATACGCCAATCCAAAAGATGCCCGCCAACAAGTCGGCTTGCTCTTCGGGAGCCAGGCGACAAGTTCCGACTGTAGAGGAATCTGTCACCGGATCCTCGTAGATGGACCTAAAAAAAGGGATAACTTGCGTAAGTCACATAAGGAATCCTTTTCACGTGTAAACTTTTTCGCCTGTTAATTGAAGGACCATTAAAGTCATGTAAGACTACATTCATAGGAGTAGAAACTGTATGCAGCCCACTGCTACATTTACACATTGCTAAATCTGGCCAGCAAGTTCTGCATGTAAATATTTGTATGGCCGAACCACTCTGGGGCAGCCTGCCTACCTCAGGACCCAAGGTGCACCAACTCAGTTTGCAAATATTCGTGAATGGGAGTGACCATGGATTCCACAAAAAGATTTGACTCTTGTGGACTCGCACAACAGAATGTGCGACGTTCCGTTATATGGCTGAATGCTCATAGAAATGGCTCCCAAGGCTGTGGAGCAGGGAACCGACCCACCACGTCCAGGATCTCCAATGGCGTACAAACCCACGATCTTCGTTAAAATGACATCATCCAAGTGTCGTACTGGTAAGCACCAAGGAGTTCCTCTTTTGCCCCATTTTTGACACGCAATACGGCAGACACCAGCCATCTTGATTAAAGGCATCAGTACGAAGATAGTCATTTCTCATGGAGAAGTTTATAAATGCAAATAGAGAAGGCGAGTGTTTAAAGTTTTCTGCACTATAGGATAAGTGAGAGAAATTATTAATCATACCTAAAAGCATAATGACTGTTTAGCAATCACGATCTTCTTTCTAGCCCAAAATGTAGCTGTGAAACTCATGCGAAACCGCATCGAAAAGGAAGGAAGAGCGCTTTGCGGCGAGGACTCAATTTTACTTTTCCAAGATGTGTGCTTGTCAAGGGACCACAGTCCTCTCTCTAACGGACTGGGAAGGAAAAGAGAATATGCCAAATGAATGGTTGGCTCACGGCACCTTAGAATGTAGCTGAACACTTGATGGTCACGCAATATCCCTAGACCAGGGTGCTGATTTAGCCCTATTGGCGATGGGGTAGATGTTCCCATTTTAAGGTTTGGAAGGTTCCATCTTGGGTGTTTGAATTCGACCGCTTCATGCCCCATCTCAACACTTCGTAATCCCATTGCTTTCTTTCTGATTGGCCAATATCGCGTGGAGGCGCGCTTTACACATGGTAGTAAGCGCTTCTATCCCAAGGCTATTTAAGGACACACACGAGAAATTGGACTGCCGTGTACCCTAATGCTGTAGAGACATAATGCGTTGCCAGAGTTTTTCTGAGCTGAGGCAGTAGGAACCACCCAAAAATTAGTCTTCTTGGGTCTTCTGAGTGAGATTTCAAGTATCCACCAGCGAACACTAGCTTCCCGTGTCCATGCTCAAGAATATTAGTTTGTAATACTTATGTCGTTTAAATGTTCCTTTCAGAGAGGAGGCGGGGAGACAAAAATCGAACCTCATGACTGAAGAGCAGTCAACATCCCACAACTCGGAGAAAAGTTCCGTGTCCGAACCCTCCCTAACTTGTACCCACTTCCCCGTTTACTTTACGAAATGACAAAATCAAATCAGCCTGGGTGTTCCAAGAGTATGAGGGCCAGGGGAGAGATCTACGAGCCTCGTTTTACAGTTTATAAAAATTGGATCTAAAAAAATTCAAAATCAATTACAGAAACGACGGTTCACTGTTGCCCAAACGCCCTTTTGACGAACCAATCACACGTCCTTGATGGATTTCGGAGTAAAATTAAGATTTCTAGCGAAAGTAGAAATAGTTTCTCAGAGATGATTGAAGGTACTGACTGAGATTTTTGAAAAACCAAATACTTTATGAGCAAAACTTCGTCAAAACCCGAGTACAGTATATCGCTCAGACCACCTATAATTGCATCGTTGCAGTCCTTTCCACAACCATTCAAATTTCGCTTCAAGAAAAGAATACTTCAGACATCCCTTCTAATAATACGGGCTAATTGGAATCTCACAGCTTTACTTCTTGGCTCCATTCATTTTCGTCAATTTGAAATAAACACTGCCTACATTGGATTCTTAAAAGACTCGTAACTTCCATCAAGTAATTGAAAAATCACTGATCGCACAGTGGAGAGTTTCCCAACTAACATAGCGGTCGCATTTATAGATGTTTTTCAATTTAGTTCAATTGGGAAACTTAAGGGGACTTGGGAAAAGGTGATCGTGATTTTACTCCATGAATTGCATAAATTGACCAATTAAACTAATATCTACCAAAAGGCATATTTTTTTTTTATTTGACAGTCATTATAAATGCAAATGGTTTCGGGACGGTAAAAGCAGCGATCCAATCGAATGTCCCTGTCTAGACGCAAGCTCGAACATGACAATCCAAACCGTGGCCTCATCTCACGCGATTAGCACTGCTGGTAGTGGCTACTACAAAAAAAAATCAATTCGAATTTTTAAGGGTTTTCTGTAATAAATAGCTCTCCAAGCCCTTGAAAACTAAATCTACTCTCCAATGAGATCTTTACCAGCGGAAATTCAGACCCTCATAGCAGCTACCGCCATTGAATGGTACTACAGTTGCTGAACAGCAAACAAAAACAGGAGAAAGTGATGTCACTTCCCTAACAACTTCGACACAAGTGTCACAAATATGCGACATTCTATTTAGCATTTCATCGAATCCTTCCGATAACAGCCTGGAGGAGTTTCAAATGATGAATAAGACTAATAACTTTTCAGTTTTGTGAGAAGCAGTTTTGCCTATCAAAGAATGATGAAAATCTTTAGCGAATGAGAATGAAAAAAACATGCAAACTACTTTGATCGATTTTACTCTGAGACCTTGGAAGTAAGCACGTTAAGAATAATCTAAAAACCAGCCTTCTACAACTTTGATAATTAAACTACCTATCCAATCAGGATCAGACACCCCTGACATTGCCACAACACCAGTCTTACCTCGAATCGTTTGTCACTACAGTTGCTGCTCCAGTGCTATTAGAGAATCTAATTGCGTTTGGAGTGGGTTTCACAGGACCCACCGTCGACATCGACAGTGCTGCCAAGGGGGTCACGTCTGTCTCCTCACTCACCGCCTCAGCGTGCGGTGGCATTAGCGGTCGCTTAATTGGGGGTACAGTCAGACCAACGGTCGGTTGCATCGGAACTAACGACGGGGCGGACACAGCCGCAGTACCAGCGATGCCAGAAGGATAACCGAGGAGGCTGGAGACAGAGGAAGAGGAGCCCCGACGCGAGTGACGACGCTCATGCACAGGGGGTGTAGATGATGGTGCCTGCGGTGCCAACAAGAGTGGCGATGCAGACTGAGGCGGTTGCGGCGGCTTCGAGGTGATCAATGGAGAGTCGGGTGCGGAAGACCGACTGCGAGTAGCAAACTGACCAATGTTGGTGGCGGTGGAAGAGGAGAGCACCGTCCCCCGGTACTGAATGTGGCCCACTGCTGCCTCCAGGGTGAGGAATAACTCAACCATGTAGCCCTTTCATAATATGATTAAAAATGAAATACAGCTTAAACGACCGCAGGGGAATAAATCGCATCCACCACCTTACCTGCACTTCCTCATTGGCATCTGACACCGACTCAACCAGTCGCACCAACACCTCTGAGAGGCTCTTTTTATCCAACTGAGCATCTAATGCGCGATAAATTTGTAGGGACCGACTCGCATAGTGACGATTGGGACACGTGATGCCCATATTGAAGGCGGCCTGGGAGAACCGCGTGACCGTGCACCCGGAGCGGAGGAAGAGGAAAAGTGCCGAACCCTCAGCACTCGGATCGCCACTGACGCCAAGGTTGTCAGTGTCCACTTCGTCAGCTTCTCCGTCGTAGGGGTGGCGGTGAGGAGCGCCATGGTGACAGCGCAGACAAGAGGCAGCTTCCTCGCACCGACAACCCGCCTCCGCTTCAGCAAAAGCCTCCGCCACGCAGCGAACGAAGCGATCGAGGAAGCAGGCAGAGCGGAGGAGGAGAATTGACTTGCATGGTTGTTGTGGTGATGTTGGTGGATAAGGAGGAAGGATAGAGCGGAGAGTCACGAGTGTGACTTGCTGAAATCGGCTCGGTGTGATGTCCTCCCAGGTCCAGATGGAGCGGTCTTGACTGCAGGAAGAGAAGAGAATAGCAACCCTGGAAATCATGTACCGTAATTTTGTTTCATAGAGTCACCAATTAATGGATTGGAAGATCCGCAAAGGCATTTTTAAACCAATTAAGGATGTAAGTTAAAAGTCTATTATATATTGGCCAAACCCAAGCGGAATGCACTGTGGTTGGGATTCCAGACAAGGAACGAGCCAAGAGTCCTAAAGAGAATACCTCTGAAATAATGAGCATAACTACAGCCCACTCTGGTATTAATAAACCAGCCGGCTTTCCGACTAGAAGGAAAACTAAAAGGCATTAAAAATAGAGAAGCCATTTCAGACACTTTCAAACAGACTTACACTTCCTCTAGAAGCTGGCCAATCCTTTTCGCTGCCTGTTGCAAATGTTTCGATTCACAGTCGTACGGCGCCGCGACTACCACCATCTCGTTTGCCGACACTGCCAACGCCTTATCCGCTACCGCCCCTACCATCTGAGCAGAGGAAGTTGGAGGCTGAGATGAAGGCGGTGGAGGCGGCAGGTCACTCAGTACTATCGAGCGCCGCTTTGACTCCTGCTCCGCCGATAGACCCGCGGGGATGAGAGTAGCGGTGCTCATGAGGCTGTAGGTGGAGCCAAACACGTAGCTTGGTCGCGCCCCGACAGTCTGCTGAGCGACTAGCGAGGAGCGCGACATGATTCCGCCACCACTGGTGGTGGCGGTAGTGACAGTCAGAGGCGGAGCATCGGTGAGGGGCGAAAGACCACTCGGCGGGGTGGCAGAGGCAGCGAAGGCAGGTGGGGCTACAGATGTTCCAACTATGGTGAGTGCACCAATGGAGGAGGAAGCGGGCACACAATAGGTGGCCCACGTGGGACAGGCTGAGATCTCGGTAAGTGGAGTGTCCGTGGGTGCAGGCAGGTAGAACTTTGGCTTGAATAGAAAGGATGAAAGTAGGGACGGTCGCGCTAATTCTTACTTTCATTCTCCTCCTCATTCATTCGCAAAAAAATTCAAAGCAGTCTTATGTTGGGAATGTGAAATGGTACTAATGGCTACTTCCTGATTTGAGTAAATTCAATGGGAGCATTGAAAAGAACAACTCTCAACCTAAGTTAGGCATGAAACCGTAAATTCTCCTTGTAGTGATTTAAGGTCTAGAATAATACTGAAGTGAACCTGAATTAAGACGATTTCCTGAGGTCCAATTAAATTTGATTCGCTTAAAATACTTCATCTGAATGCTATTAGTTCAATTTATCCACAAATTACCGCATTAGAAGTTAATGACACCGGTTCCATAAAAAATTTAGGGTATGAAGTAGTACAAAAGACCTACAAATGAAGCGCTTACTGATGTGTAATAATATAAAATTTTTTATGGTTGAAGCAGGGTTTGGAATCGCAAACTGCAGTGCACCTCCATATCCTACATTGATTTAACTGGAATCAGAAAACTAAAGTGCTACTTTTCGGCACAATCTTACTCGCCAGTTATTCATGTTGAATGCATAATTTCAGAGCTGAAGTTGACTGGTCATTTGGTTGAGAAAAGCTAATTAGTCATTTTTAATGACCTCAGCTGACCAAATCCTCATGACAGTAACTTTTCCGACAATTTGCTTTAATAAGCACAAACCCCTTGAATTTCCAAATGAAAGCGATAGAGATTACATATTAGCACAATGACTTGATAGTGGATTAACTACTCGAACGCCATGGTTCATACTACTGCCAGGGACCATAGTCGACTGGCTGTCCACACAGCCTTCTAACCCTAATGCATAGTGATAATTCTTCTACACCACTGTAGTTTACTGCTTCAAGAAGGGCTGGAAGCAATACACGCGAAATGTGTCGGCATCAAGAAGATCAAGAAATTCATCATGAAATTGACGTCCATGAAGCATAGTCTTTACGTATTCTGGCTCTGATTTAAGCAACTTCACCGCAAATATCATAAGAGAGCATTCTTAAAATTAGGTTCTGCTCAAAATGGGATAATTTCAGTAGTGGTGAAGGTAAAAAAGAAAAAATTGCATCCTTCCCCTCTTGACGGGTATGTCTACAAACCAGACAACATTCTTGTTCCGATTTTCCGAAGATTTCCTGCTTCATGCCTAGTTTACAAACGTCCCAGAACGCCTCAAAATTTGCGCTACCTGATTGGCCGATGGTCATTTCAATGCCGAGACCGATCAGAATACCTAGATACAGAGAATGAGACCACTCTAACCCTAACCCTAATCAGATTACTCACCACAGATGGACCATCATCGAGGGTGAGACAGAACTGAGGGCCACGCAAGGAGAAACTGTTCATGGCGCGAGCAATCCATTGAGAGTCGATTTCCAGCTGGAGAGAGAGGAGACGCAGAAGGTCTATGCGAGGGCATATAACGCGCAGCATGTTCACCAATAGCTGTTTACTCTCCTCCTGCACCAAGGGTCGGCAGTGGTCCAATCCTGCGGTGAAATAGAGGCAGTGTTCAGTTTACTTTTGGCCAATCGTATCTACTTTCACTCTCAACACCTGATCCTATCGGTTGCAACAGACATAACCAGTGTAAATGCCTTATGCATATGGAGAACAACGGTAGTAGTTAGAGGTAAAATAACATCTTAGTTTTTCCAAACTTCCATAAATCAACCAACAACAATGCTGGTCTTTGGGACCTCCTGCACACAGAATAAAGCTACCACCTTTTGCGTTTCCGGGGTTAACGTAGGTCCCATGTTAGAGGTAGCTTGGTGAGATACGCCTCTACCCAATTCTATCCCCTGCCAAAAGTTTGTCCAAACTAATAAGTGCTTTAAATATGGCTTATACATAGAAAAAAGCCTCCATTGTTGATGACTGAATTTGTAAGTCTTCACAACGGAAAGGACAAGATCACTTTAGTGGATTTGCAACTAAATTTATGTTAAGCGGAAAGTTGAGAATTTGAACGAGACTTATCATTAAGAATCGAGAATAACCGAGATAGATGTCGGGGCATTACTAAAATCATAACAAAATGCGAAAAAGAAATGCTATCAGAACAAAACTTCAGGATGCTAAGACATCGAGAATTTATTAAAACTTTTTAGCCCCTGGGCAAGTGTTCCTATGATGTATGCCCCTCATAGAACGTCCAAATAACTATTTTATAAGCAGTTTGTCAAATTAGAACGGAAAACAAATCTTATCGCAATAAATGTAGTAGGGTGGTTGCCTCTATGTCTGTCCACAGTAAATCCACCCAAGGGCCTGGATGGTTTATAACGTCTTGGGGGAGTAACTAAGGGGCCAAAAGGAGTGACCTTTCCAGATGGAAAACATGATCGTAAGTTTAACCAGACCATTCCTGATTATTTTTTTTAAGAGAGGGGAGGGGTTTAATCCTTCTTAAAAAGCACCAAAAAACGCTAAGGTGGCATTCACCTCTTGAACCCAGAATCACAGTAATAGGCAAGCAAAACGTCTGTTTAAACATGGAAAAACTTATAACTAACAAACAATTAAACCCAGACTAAGAGATTTACGTTACAAACATACAAAAAGGTACTTAGCTCACCAAGAAACAGACAGAGCAGAAGAAGAGGCATATGCTTACGCCACGCCACTCGATGCTTATTATGCGACTTTAGTATCTCTCCCACTAGCACAAGAACTAACGGCGACCTTGCGCCCGTAGGAGACCACATTCCGCTGAACACAAGGGAGCCATTGGTCACAAAGGGCTCTGTTAGCCAATCACACAAGGGTGCATGGTAGACACTCCCCTCCTTCGGCATCGGTAGAGGCTGTTGCAAAAGTAGGCCCGTGTTGGAAAAAGGAACCTCTGCTCGTTGATTCACATCAACATCACCACCACCACGACTGCTTCCATGGTGACGGCGTAGCTTACGCGGTGAGGAGCGTCTGCGTCGACCACCTTTATGCTTTCTCCGATAGTCGTTGATGTGGGAGATTGAATGCGAGTGTAGTGGTAGTGGAAGAGGCTGTAACGATGCCAGATTCGGAGGCAGAGAGGTGGTGTAGAGGCGAGCACTATTCGAAACCTTTGTCACAATTTCAGTTTTAATAGCATCATCACAACCACCGCTTCCTCCGCCACCGCCACCACTACCACTACTACGAAATATAGATCGAAAGGGGTTTCTCCGTCCGCCACCCTTGTCACCTCCACCCGCGCGGCGACGAGAGAGGATCTTTCGCAGACGGCTTGGCCGGCTTAAAGGAGTTCCATCCAAACCGACAATGGCCTGTTTACTGTATCTCTCACGCGAGGCAGCCGTGTAGGGTAGGGTTTGACTCCTCGCCGTGATAAGAGCTTCGGCAGTGGTAGTAATTTGGTTCTGCGGCGTCGGCATGGTGTCGGCAGTTGTCCGCACCATCCCACATTCCTCCTCCACCTCCCCATCAAGAGAATCAATGTCAATTTCCTGAGGCTGTTCCTGATCATGATTGACAGAGGCCTTGGATTGTCGAAGGCCACCAGGATGGAGGGCAGTTCGGAGAGCCCGACGACCCATTGCGGTGGCGCTGCTTGCAAAGCGATTGGTGAGACGGGAGATGGCTGAGGTGGTATTAGCGAGCGAAGAGGGCTCAACGGTGGATTTTGTTGAGATAATGGTACTTTCATCGCCGCCTCCATTCAACTGCCAGCCACCACTGCAGGCGGACACTGGTCGAACACTTGCAGCCTGATGACTGTAAAGGTGAATTCAAACTTATTAAGTTAACGTCTAAGTCCTGGATATTCATTTCAATCACAAGACACGAATGGATTGAAGGCGAATCATTGAAGATTATTTGAAGTTCCTTTAAATCAAAGGGGTATACGGGACTCACAAACGTTTGAATAGAAATAATATTTGAAATTTTCCAAAGTGAAGAGAAAATTGTAGAAATAGGTGGAAGGGCTGAAAGCCTTCAACTGATAAGTTATTAAACGCAGGTTAAACAACTTACGTCAAGAAACAAGCATAAGTACAGTTAAAACCAGAATCCCAGGCGGTTATTTCACTATAAATCATTAAATTTAACCCCCAGTAGATGATTTCACTCCTAGAGCATACTTTTAGGCTTAAATAGAAGGATAATTTTAAAATTTACCATATTAAACATGCCACAAATAAAAATCAACTTCAGCTAATCTGCGTTGGCAAAAGTTCAGGATATTAGTGAAAAAAGTCAAGATCACCGATGAAAGAGAACGTTTTAAACTGATTTGATTGAAATGGCCAAATAACTTCTTGGGGGATGGAAACAACACCACACCTAGGATGAATAAATCTGCTCCAGCTCACCAAATTCGGCTTCAGGTCAGAACGTTGGTGACTAAGAATAGAATTACTGGAACAGAACTTATTAACTCACAGTTTACTAACATTTGGAAGTGTTTGCGCTGCTGCACGAATAATCTACAAATTATCTTAAAAATCGTAAATACCCTGTAACAGTCCTCCACTAAGAGGACGAATGATGCTTCAACTTTATTGGCAAATCAGCCAGTCAACTCACTCCGCATCGACGGTCGTCACACTGCCACCATCAGCAAGGAGTCCATGAACCTCACTGTTCCTCTGGCTGAAGGTAATGGCTTCGGAGGGATTAGTCAGGCGCTGTCTGCACTCTGTCCCGGCGACCGTCAATACACTCGCAGCGGTGGTAGTGGCAGCATTAGTAGCACTAGTAGAGGCGGCGGAATTGTGCTCCGTGAGGTCAGAGAGGAGGGCGATGTGGAAAAAGGGTGGGAAGGGTGAGGGCTCGATCATGAGACCTGCGCCGTCGATAGTCTGCAGCTCGGTCATCAGCACATCCACTACACTAGAAGGATCCTCATTTGCAAGGAAGGAGACCACGCGGTTCACCTGAAAACGGTGTTTAGTTAGGTTAGTAGTGCTAGAAAGGCAATTATTGGCTCTGCACAATAGTATTCTGAGGCCGGAAAGTAGTGATGATCGCCATCAGAAACCGTCATCTTGGTTTTGCAAAAATACTAAAAGTAGCAGAAAAATCAAGGATAAGGCTGGATAAAGATTTCACCACACTGCTAAGTGATTGAGCAAATTCAATAACGAGAAATGAGAATACATACAGTGTCAAAAATTCACTATATTATACCCGAACTCACATTTCCTCGTCAGCGCAGACTAGAAGAGTGGGAGAATATTTAACATGTAAAATCACACACCACTTCAGTCAGTCTACTGAATTGGTTTCATGGCACTTCCAGATTCAAATGCACTAATGCCTCCCCGAGAGTAACATTGGAAGCACTTTCTGACACTTTTCAAAAGTTATAGTCCAAATGGGTAGTCTGATCGTTACCCATGAAATGTATACGATGTTTGTTAAAATCACACGGGGACTTGGAAATTTGAAGTATAAGTAGGCTAGCTGCCATGGCAGGATTATGCCCAATTGTAAGTGACCCGCCTATCCTATTATGGTCGACGCGCATGGTGTGGACCAATCCATGCAACGTTCATCGAGATGACGGGTACAGAAAAGCAGGCATTGAGGAGCAATGTTAATTGTCAACGAAGGCGTACAATCTAAACTCGCCGATACCTATTCGTAAAGAACACTTCAATTGCAATGCGGTAAAATAGTGGGGCACTCAGTTATCCAGAAGCAAGGCACTTAAAAGATACAAATTCTTCGAATACAAGAGTACGTACATCTTTTAAGTGATGATCACGGTCGTGAGGTTCCCAGCCCATCACTACAAAGGACATTCAACGCTGTGGCAAAAACATACAAAAGAGAAATAGTTCTGTGGGAATGGTGAACACGAAGCATTCACGAATGCAATAATTTACGATTCCGGTAAGTTTTCAGGCGCGGAACATAAACACAGTTTCCCACTTTCAGCCATCTCCTAGCTCACTCCTAATAAAAAATCATTCTGTGTCGAAGCTGCTATCCGAAATAACAATAATAATACCGTTCCCACTTATTGAAATTTTTTCGTTTGTAAAAGCAAAAGCTCATTTTGATTTGACACTCCCAGTGGAAGGAGTGAAGACATTAGGAATGGATGGATCTACCATTTGCCCCGTTATGGGTGGTTGTTGTCTTACGTGAGAGCAAAGTGTGGCTGGAGCTAGAGAAGCAGTGACAATGAGGTAGCGTAGAATGAACCGCAGATTCGCTGGTCGGTAACGTATGAGAAAAACCCAGAGATCTTCCAGAACTGACGCTTCACTAGGCTCATTTGCAAAGCGGATGGTGAGGTAGAAGAAGTTGTTCAGCACCATCTTGGTTGCCTGCAATACCAAAGTAGAAAATATGTAACTTTATGACCATGCAGAGAGAAAGGAAGAAGGAAGAATAAACGTTACCTTTAAGCATCCCCATCCAGATCTTCGCAACGTGAGCGGAACACTGGCCCACAGCTCGCTTGCTTTCTGCCTCTCCCCTTCGATTTCGGGTTTCGATGACTGGTCCGAAATGCGTCTTTGATTACTTCGACGAGTGTCTTCATGATTGCGATAGGGCCGATGACTAGACTTGTGTTCACGTTGAGGCTTTCTCAGTACCGCCACATTTGACGTCGCTGCCGCACTGGAACCACATTCACCGGAATCGATATTGGAAGAGCCCGTAGAAATTGATGATGAATGGGAAGAGGAAGAGGAAGAAGAATCCGAGGATGAAACAGATGAAGAAGCCGAAGATGATGACGCGGAGGAATCAGAAGAGGCGGAGGAGGAGTGTTGTCTGTTAGCATCCTCCTCATCCACCTCTGAGCCAGAACTAGGTCCCGAGGTGGTTACCACATCAATCTTTCCTGATAGAGATATGGGTTCCAGAGTCGCGACTGTGGAAGTATCTTCAGGACAACCGGAGTAAGTCTCCATGAAACCATCGCCAAGGCCACGTGGTGTATTGTTTTTGCCACTATAGCCTAGGGCGAATAAATCGACCAGTTCAATGTTGATGGTCCAGTAGTGCAACAACTTGATCAGACGACATCGCACCTCACTGGAAGCTGTTGCTAAACGTCGACAAATTTCTGCAACGGACCGAACCAAAGGTAAATTAGAGCGAGAAAAGGTAGAAAGACTTCGCTTTGCGGGATATTTACCGGATATCATGGGAAGTGTACAGGTGGGATGTTGAGCACAAAATTGCCTGAGAACATCGCAGGGCTTCCAGTGACTAATCTCACGCCAGAGTAGTTCGTCCGCTAGCGCAGATAGACATAATTCTGTTTGGCTGTCGTTCAGTTCATCAGAATCACCCGCTACCGGGGTTGATGTGATCATTTGTTTACATTCCGGATGCATGCGTTGGTGAAGCTCCCGAGCAGGCTAAGAGAAATTTGGGATAAGAATGGAAAGAAACATACCAGAAGGAAGAAATGGTAGTAGAGAGTTTGTAGAAGAAATACGGCGTGTTCGCGAATCACAGGCACGGAGTGTTCGGAGAACACCATGGCCAGTGTAAGCATAACAAACTTGTCACAATGCGTTTTGGGACTACAAGGAAAAGAAGAGTAGGTACTAGTGAAAGTTAAGGTTTAAATAGCAAGCCAAAAAAAAGGAAGGGAGGCCTACTTTTTGATGAAATGTTGTGTGATGATAACGAAAAAAGCCTGGATAGCATTCAATGAACCGGTGTAGCATTGATTAATGAGGGCCTCCAGAAGGCCTGGGAGGTCCGAGTTCATATCCAGTAGAATCACCAAAGTCTCTTCCCCTAGTTGACGAAAGAGCTGAAAAAAACAACTATCCGTGATACATAGTAGCCACTTCCCTTGATTTCCAAAATTACATCAACCTCCACCTTGGAATTCACTACCAACAAGTTATTTAAGCCATTTCTGAGCAGCACTTTCTACAACTGCATGCAGCAGCCTCTTCAAGTGCTGTACAAGGGGCTACACGAGAAGGATCCGCAACTGCAGCTTTAAAATCAAATTCACATCGATTTGTAAAGGAAACAAACTTGAATCACATCCATAAGATTCAATCAACGTTTTGTGAAACTGTTTCAGTAAATTACGAACAATTTTAACCATCAGGGACCAGCGTCCCAGCCCACCTTAGCAATAAAGCCACTTCCATTTTCTTATGCCTCCAGACCCTATATATGCACCATACATATCTTTTCATAAGTGTTAGGAGAAGGTTAGCTTTCATATTTTCCACGATGATCCAAACCTAGACGTAGATTGGTCATAACAAAAACATCAATAGTGAACGACATAATTTGAGGCTATTCAATAAAAGGTCCAGATTGGAAATAAACATGTATAACCAGCCCGCGGAAGGAACAGCTTCAACTGCTTTCCAAGAAAGTAGTTATTGGTAAGTAAAATTCATGGAGTTCTAAGAACTACCCACGTTAGACAGTTGGGAAATACTAAAATGATCATAAACAAAGTGGGAACGAAGGTGAAAATAAATATCAAGTTGTCGCGGGCTTCATTAAATGTATTTAACCACTATTTTAATTTGCTTAAAAAGCAAAAAAAAACTACCCTACCTTGAAGTGAGGACTTTAAAATAGTACACAGAAGACACAACAACTGAACACTATCGAAACCTAAGAAGCGCAGCACTGTCGCTGAGTCGGGAAGACTTTTTTCCGATGCATAATGACCACCAAATCAAAATATCAAGATAGTGTACTGAGGTCATGCCAACTACTTAAGTAGCGCCTTAACTACCTATAACGAAACTAATTTCAGAATCTTCCTCCGTATCATTCCATGAGGCAGACATGTAGAATGCCAAAGCTGAGACCAGAGTTAATATTAATGAAGCCTAAACGAACACATACTTATCCATGACCTAATATTCCGAAGCCAATGCAAAATTGCACTGCTCACCGAGTCCAACCGGCGGCCCGCTGCTGCGGCAATTACAATAGATCTTAAATTATCCTCCAACCGAACATTCTGCACTCCCGTCTTGGCATGTGGGCCTTTGAGAGCCGTTGAACAGACCCCAAAATTAACCACCGGTAGGCCCCACAACCACGGCGATATACTGAGCTTTCCGTCCCGACACAGCAACAGCCCCTTCAACCAATGAAAGATGTACCCTGGTGCCGGTTGCCCTCCTGATGACGAAAATCCCGATCCTGGCGGTGTGGTGATAACAGTAGAGCTCAGAGCCTGCGCAGAATTGGAGACAAGTGGGGTAGTGGCTACAGTAGACAGGGTCAGTGGACCGCATTCATCCTCCACCACAGTGACGGAAGAGGCGGCGTTGGATGATGAGGTAGAAGTAGCAGCGCCTGTGCCAGCTGTGGTGGAGGTATTAGTGGAGGTTTGGTGGAGCTGGTGCCCCACCCCCGAACCACTTAGACTGGCGTCGAAAACCTCAGCAAGCCGATTGGTGACAGTGGGAACGGTGAATAGGGCGAAGGTGTCGTAGATGGCGCCGCAGCAGACCAGTGCAGCAATAGACTGGTTAGCGTACCAGAGTAACTCCAGCCAAATGGAGTTATAGAGGAAGGAAGCGGCGATAAAGGGATCCTGGGGCGTGGAGTCCAGATGCACTCCAGAGATGGAGAGAACCAGATCACCGGAGATGACCTGATCCATACCCGCGGGAGGCGGAGGAGGTGGGGGTGGAGGATTAGGGTGCTTGCTCTCGGTTAGGGAGCCAGACAAATGATCAATCCAGGGTGGTTGACCCCATTTGATGTCTCTGAAATTTGAGAACAACAGGACGCCTTAATGAGACAGAAAATCAAAGATATCAGATACAATAGAAGGTCATTTACAGTAGACACACCTCCTAGAAAGGCGTACCGAGCACCTGCTAGAATAGTCAGACTAGAAAATAACTTTATCATGAGATCAATTTGTAGTCTGCACAAGGTTATCATCATATTAAGTGACTTAGTGAATCGTTACCTGGTTTTCGCCTTCGATTCGCGTAGATTGTGATGACCCTTTGTTAAAGCCGAAGAGGTTTTCAAGTGTCCGAGTGAATTTAACTGCATGGATTTTGAACACACCAAATATAGATTGAGTAGATTTGCTTCCCCTACCATTATATATTTCTTTATTCTGATTTAGAGGGCGCATTTATCAAATCTGAAACCAATACACATCAGCAATTAACAGATTTACGAGCACACAAATTCTCTACATCAGCAGAAAACCCAACGATGGAACCGGTAAAAATGCCTTCACAACTCATTGAGAAATGCAAGCCTTGAGACAGTTACCCTGCGGATGCAAATTGGTTATTTTGATTATGTGGAACATTTCAAGCCCCCCACAAGTCGATCATCACGACAGTAATATGGAGCATGTTACCACCTATGCAACACTCGGGCTCATCTTCAGAGGTTGCTTAAACGTTTCAAAATGCATGTTTTAACGTCAAATTAAGTTAAAATAAATTATTGTAGAATTTGGGAATAGCTGACCAATGCCTAGGCGATGGCCAAAGTCCAGTACTTAAGAATTATCTCAAGGAAAGAAAAACTTATCGGTTAAGGCTTTCTCTATCTCCTTGAATGGCCCACGCATTCACTGACTCACAAAATGTCGTTAATGAAAACGACTTTAGCCACGAAATGTAGAACGTTAAATAATGGCTTAGATGAACCATAAGCTAGAAGGGCGTTTGAAAGGCCATAAATAGTGCTGCACTTTGTATCATACTTTTTTCTTTTGACCATTTATAGTAAAGAGGTGGTAGAGATTTGTCAAAAAATCTAAACTTCAATAAACAATCACCGGTGCCTTAAATTTGTAGCTATTTTAGCTATCAATCTTTCAGATTATTAAGACAACTTTAATTGTTAGCACACCACGCCTGAACTCTATCTAAAGAGGAGGCCTTGGACGAGATTTGTTTTACATTTTAGATTTCTTTCTGTTCAACTTCTCAATTACGATGAAATAATTTGAAATATATCTTAGTAACTCCAGTTATCGCGGCGCCAAAATGACGACTGACAAACAATGAGCTAGTGCAGACCGTGCCAATCCCTACAAACAGAATTCTTATGAACCAATTTGAATTTATGCCACCCAGCTGATGCTACATCATGACATGCCCGGTGAGAAAATATAGGCAAAGGACTCTGTTGAGTGGAAAAAATCAGTCAGTGTTGACTCAAGTCGCAGGGAAACCAAAAATTCCCGAAAATACATAGAATGGGGAAATAGAGCTCACCTGGCATTGTGCATGTGCTCATAGAAGCCACTCCAGCGTGCGATGAGAAGAACCAGATTGCGTCGAATCGCAGGAGGCAAGAGTCGCTGTCGCCGTTCACCTACAATCGAAGGATACGAAAATACACGAATAAGCTACTCACTTAGTATAAAATACCAATTTCCAGAAATTTCAGAATCTCTGACATTCCCTTTGGATGCACTAGGGTCATCAATTAAGGCACGCTTTTGTTTTTTACTTAGCCGTCTTCAATTACCTTTTTTTTCATAAATGTGGTTTATTAAAAGTTCCTCGCACGTGGATCGGATTTATAAATGTAAGAATGCACTATACCACGAAAAATAGAGTTTGCTGTCCCGAATCAGCGAAAGCGAGTGGAAAGAATTACCCTATCTATTTCTCGTAAACGTTCCTCATCTATAAATATAATAAATTTACTATTATTGTGCAAAAACACTTTCTTATTGCTGTAGAATTTTAATATCGATGGAATTACCAAAACTATTCCTACCGACTTCGTGCACCATCGAGGAGCTGCTTTTAAATAAAAACATGGATTTTGAATACTATTTTCATATTATACAAAAGGCAGCTAGTTCCTCACTTGAATTAAGTTTAAAATTTTCTTTTGAAAATTCCAGCAAAATCTTACCTAGAAATTGTAATATTACTCGATTAAACTGTTACTCCACGATTTATCCTTTGCCCTAACATCGGCTTAACCATCCAACAGCATTTTTTGATCTTTCATCACCCTTAATTACAATTTAGAAAAAAACACGAGGTAACTACGTTCGTATAATTACATCAAGTGCTTAAAAAGCCAACTATTTTCTGCGATCAAGGTTAAGTAACTGCCAAGAGCTCCAGCAAGCACTTTATTTATTGAAATAACGTAACGATCTATTAACCTTTCGCAAAAGGAAACAATCATAAGCGAATCACATCTTTATAAAACATTTTGCCTCCAGGATCAAACAGCCCGGTCAATGTCCTACTAATCATGTCTTCTATCACACAATCTATTTCCAAACAACCCATAGTCTATTTCAAACTTTATAAATTGATTGCCTAATGATGACGCCAAAAAAGGAGACAATTATCACACATACAAATAACGGAACACGGAGGATAAGATGACATCTTCCTCTCTCCTTTCCTTCATTAGCGAGTTTTACGCAATGCTGTATGAGGTATTGTGTTGTTTGATAAGAAAAGAAAAACAATCTCCACCGCTAAGATGCAAAAAATTTTCCCATCAAAATTTGTTTAGATGCAAAAAGTATTTACTGTCGGTTGACGAAAATAAGATACAACTGAGTTTGCAAAAATAAAAACAACTTACGCGGCAAGTGACGAATAAGATCCCTTATAAAAACACAAAAGTAAAGTCGCATTTCCGTTATCACTATCGGATCCACACCAGTGGGAGCATGTGCGGGGGCTGCAGAAGCAGCAGCAGTTGCCGAGGGTGTGGTGGTGGCAGCAGCCACAGAAGGATTCTGCGCGGAACCTCCGCTCACCCCTGCAGCCCCGCCACCACTTCCTCCACCACCACCACTACCACTAACACCTCCACCAACACCACCGACAACATTGGATGTCGGTGCGCCGGGCACACCGCAAGTCGCGACCGTTCCAACTACCATTCCGCCACCAGGAGCTGCGACAACGGGGGAGTTGATAGATGTGGCGACGGCGGTGGTGGTAGCGGAGGAGAGGGAAGAAGCAGTCACGGCAGTAACAGAGGAAGAGGGGGCTACGACCGTCGTAGATCCACCGAGTCCAACGCCAACAGTGGTAGTAGCAGAGGCAGTGTTGCTGCTGAACATAGTCACTACCATCGCAGAGGGTTCGTTCAACGACTCAAGGTAGACGCGGGTGCCCTCGATGAAGTCGAGTATAGTGGGTGAAAGAGTACCCTGGCTTGAAGTAATTCCGGCTTCACTGAAGTGGAAATGGTAATTGCAAGTTCCATTAAACTACATCACATTATTCTATTTCGTAACGGGTTATTGATTAACGCACTAGACGAAATCACTTAGAACTAGCGCGTAAAAACACACTTCAGATCTCCAAGACTGACTTCTGATCCAATAAGCACTTTTAACGGGGTCTGACTCCTCGCTTTGTTACCCCGAAGCGCCTGACAGCTCAAAGAAACGTTTCCCAATACGTAAACTTTGTTCATGGAAAGAAGAAAAGGGAACTCAACGATAGTATTGTTTATAGGTGATTCCGGTTTACGGCGAGCCTTTTTAAAATCCGAATGTATCTATGAGCAGATACGTCCTGTAACAAAATTCAGCTCATTACTTTATTTTTTCTCAGCTTTTGAAAAGCAACAACACAAATTATGAGATTGTTTAATTTGTAACTAATGTGAAAAGTCCATTCCCAACTTTTTGACTAGAATAAATTCAACACTTTTATTCATCCTCGTAGAGACCATACACTTACAGAAGCATTCATTTTGACCTGTGGGGACCTGCAAATTACTCGGGGTTGTATATCACTTTTGTGTGCCCTTCGCTGTTTTCTGTTATTTTGAACCCTTACATCAGATAATGGTGGTTGAATATTACTATAAATGATCTCCAATTGTTATACCTGGGATTAAACTGCCTGCTTACAAGCCTCCTAGATCCTAAAAATCCCTAAAACAAATAAACGATAGAAAGAGGCCTTGGTGAAGTTGCCTTCATTACTGACAAAACAAATGTCCTAAGTAAATGCAACTGGTGGGTACGCGTCTGGCGGCTAGAGTGGAAACTGCCCGAGTGTTAGTCTGTGTGCCGGTGGTTTAAGATACCC